ACTTCTTCTCAGCCACTCTTCACGTTCTGCCTCTCTTTCTCCTTCTGGCTCTTCTTTCCCTGTCCTCCTCCTCCTCTCTCTCCACTCCTGCTGTTAATCCCATTTGATGGCAATGTCTTTCCCACTCCAATCCAGAGAAGAATGTCTTCAGCATTCTTGCTATAGAGAAAGAAGAAAAAAACACTCCCCGTCTCACTTGGACAGAAAGAGCGAAAGGCGGAGCAGTGGGGAGAAGAGGGAGGGATGGATCGAGGTATATAGAGAAAAGGAGGCCTCGCTGATTGAAGAGAGCCCTCTTCAGATACTCTTGGATATGAAATACGAGCCCAGATAGAGAGCAAGGGGGAAATAATAGAAGAAGAAAGAAAGTGGGGCAGGGAGAAAGTGGCTGAATGGAGCAGCCGTGAGCTGTTGGTGTGGCTGGAATAAGAGAAACGCTCTGTGCTACGGTTTTAAGAGAGAGGGGAAAGGAAAACAGTCTGGTTCTGTTTTATGTGGTGTGTGCACAATTAGAGCCAAAGAGAATGAGGAGGAGGGGGTAAGGGGGCTGGGGTACCCGGGGAGGAGAGGGGTTGAAAATAAGTTAAGGACACCAGGAGAACAAAGGCTGAGAGAGAACATGTCAGCTGACGGGGAAGAAGTGAATGAATGGAAGCTGCAGAAGGGGAATAATGACACTTTTTCGTATGTGTGACATATCGTGTGTTCCCAGCAGCAGCCTGGTCTATAGGGGTATGACAGCCTGTGAGATTAAATTGAAACGTTCTTGGAAACTTTGTGGCTGCTTTGTTAGTCTGCTGTCTCTTATGAGAGTAGAGGGAGGCAGACAGAGAGAGGAGGGAGCCAGGAGAGTGATGTGTGTGAGACAGAGTGAGGACCAAATAAAGGTGCACGAGGAATTTTACATTGGAACAATTTGAATGGCTTTTCTATGTAACCGCTATTATAGTTCAAATCTGATGCAATGCTCAATTCTCAGTCTTTTCAGTAAATGTTTAGAAATTTCCCAACATGACACATTTCCAGTTGAAGATGACACGAAACTTACCCTTAGTTTTCTAAGAAATTTGTCCTGCAGTTTAAACAGACAGACAGCCTTAGTCATATTCTGCCAGTCTGAAAATCATTCAGACATCAGCTCAGTCACTATGTCAAACTGATGATATTTTCCTGCTCGGGGGCATAAGTCAAGTTCATATTGACGCACTGTAAGGATGACACAATGCTCAGCAGTGAAAATAAATGAGGAAACCATAAACCAGGTGTGTGTGGCTGCAGCAAAACAACTGTTGAATCCTGCATTTCCACTGTCACTTCTTGGGAAAGGTTTCCAAGGCTGTGTTTGTGTTGTAGGTGTGATACCAGAGCTCAGTTTGACTATTTGGATATGAATCATTCACTAATGGCAAGGGCATGCTAAGCCACAGGTGCTTGCAGAAACAAACATACAGAGGTGTAATGCAAACAACCAATGGGCCTATAGCCTGAAAGTAGCCAGAATACCCACTAAAGCCTTTCCCTGTGCCACTTGCTACACAGCCTAGAAGATGCCTTGTGCCTTTATGCTTCTAATCTCACTTTTATTGTTTATAACAGGCACGTCCTCAGTTCCCGTCATGTTGTTGTTTACAGAAGGAAACCCCTCATTAGGCCATGTTCACTAAACTGCTTCCTGTTGACACTTCCTTGCATGCTTCCTGTCATCAGCCGGCCAAGGCTAATAAAGCGGCTCCGTCTTTTTAGCCAGCTGCGGAGCTAACGAGATGGGCTGCAGATAAACCTGCGGATGGCTCCCAGCTTGCTCCGATAGGCGGTGGAAGAGTAAATTCGTTTCTCACACACCACGGGTCGTTGTTGTGCAGGAAGCACAAACAAGTGGCACAGAGTAAACATGGAAATTTAAGATGTTGAGGTCTTCATGTATGAAAGCAAGATGCTGCTGGTAGAGACCCGCTGTGTCTGGCACGTCTCATTGTTTAGCTGACTGATACATCACTGGGCTGTAAAACCCACTTTGAATTAAGTTACTGTTAAGCTGTTCCTGGATCTGTTTATTGAGCTTTTCCATGTAGAAGAGACCTTACTCCAGACCAGATTCCTCTTTGCCTTTACTACCTTTCTTTCTTTTTTGCCCCATTAAATAATTTACAGACAGGATCCAGACCAAAGAAAGTATTTTTCAGGGTGAAAAGGGGAAGACATTAGTGCTTTTTCTATTTATACCACCAAACGTCGGGGCATAAAAAGAGAGGGAGGGAGAGAGACATAAGAGTAATGCTGTGCTAGAGAATGACAGACAGAGGAGCTGGAGCGTTTTCTCTCAGCGAAGCACGGCACTCTGTGGGCCAGTTGGCTCGGACCAGAACAGCAAAACACAGGGCCGTTGGCATGGCGACAGAGGAACACTTCCCTCCTAATTCAGCCCCGCTCCGCCACATAGACAAAGAATAAGAGAGAGGGATGGACGTCTGTTCTGCTTCTCAAGCCATTTGTAGATACTTCATAATGGTTTACACAAGGCGCAGGCCGGGTTTTAGCAGGGGCCGTGCAGCTGGGATGAAAAGGCAGGACACAGTGTATATACAGCGGCCTTGTCCGGCACTTTGTGGTCAAAGCGGTCTGGACGATCAGATCTGGAGGCTGCAGGGTCACAGAGTCTGGATGACTCCCGTCCTTTGCTTGATGTAAATCCTTAAGTGGGCAATAAAACTATTCATGCAGTTGCAAATTATACAGGGTGACCTTTTCATGCACTGTCAAATATGAAGCATGCCAAATGTCTAAACAAGAGGCAAATCTAATTTGACAAAATGATAATTCTGTTGAATTATAGTTTGACACAGATGTCCAATCTCAGTGGATTTTAATGATAATGATTTTGTACCAACACCAACTTGTTAATACTTCCTGAATCAGGGATATATTGACCATACTAAGATGTTATGATGCAAGGTAAAATGGTTTCACAGCACCTTGGCTTTGTAATGAATGAAGGGTGCTTGTTTAGCCGTAGTTGCTTTATATAGAAAGTAAAGAGCGCCTTTTAAGGCAAAGGGGTGATGTCAGTTACAGCTGGATAACATCCACTCTGCCTCCTGCTCGTACATTTACATATATTTACCTATGTCAGAAACATGGGTAAACGCTGTAAAGGTCTTTGAGGTCTTTCATGCTGAGGCAGTAAAGCGGTGTGTTGGCCTGAGAGAGATGAGGCCATGAGGAAGTTAATTAATTAGTGTGTTTCCTCTCTGCTGGAGCAGACGGGCAGGGTGCTTCTGCCTGACGCTCCAAGAACACAGCCAAAAAAGGAATCAAACTGCTGCAGAGCGCTGCGAGCCTCTCGAGCTGCCAAACTATTCCTGTAAAAGCACTCTTTTGGTATAGGGGCCTGAACAGGAGACCTTTGGAGAATGTAAAGGGAAAAAATGTATACAGAGAGGAAGAACATATTGAATCAATCATGTGCTCTTGTGGTCAGTGAATTCTTTGAGAGCACCAGGTTGCGACAAGGTGGAATGATCACAATGGATGCTTTTGAATTAACGACTATTTGTTTGGGCATGTGAAGTCTCCTCTGGAGGGGAGCATATGACCAAAATAACCGTCTGGGACAGACTAATCAGTTATGTTGCTGTTGGATTGTGCGGCGGATTTGTTACACTATGCTACAACTGTCAGCTCTGTGAAATATTCACTGGTGTTGTTTGCAAATGTATACGTGGGGGAGGCTAAATGAAGGGGGGGGGGTTGCATTCTCACAGATGAAAAATAGTCGAAAGACTCCACTGATTGTTCAACATCTGGAAAACATTTGGGCACGTGAACTTGGTCCTGGTCCTGACAACATGCACCATTGGGATGTACAGTATATTCTGGACAGGCTGTCTCTGAAGAACTCATCAGTCTCACGTACACATAGTTGTATACTCTGAAGGTTTATACCGTCACCCTCTCCCAAAGATCCATGTCCTCCTCTCCTGATCCTCAAGGAGCACTTCTAAGAGTTTACTTCTGTCTTGTGGTTTTCAAAGTTAGTCCTTTTTAAAACCCTCGTGGTGCATGTAGGGCTTGTTCCAGTGATGCTATGAGAAAATAAAAACTTCAAATTTTGAGCAGAGGACACTACAAAATTTCTAACCTCCCTCTCTCCCACAATGACGTGACAGCACACTGAATCAACCAAGCTGGGGGAGAGACTGAACAACCACACCTCTATGAAAAAACACAATGCTTCATGATCAGAACCCATTACATATTTGTTTTTCTTTCATCACATTGCCACACCCCACCCGCGCGGTTCACTTTTCCTATTCCACAGAGAAAAACATCATATCTGCCTCTGACCAGTTTACAGTCCATCAGGGTAAACTGCTGCGCTGTTAACAGAGCTGTTTTTCTCTTAACTCTTGATTCCTTTACCATACTTGATGTAATGTCAACAGGCTGGCTTTTTCACAAGTCTTTGTTATAGGCTGGAGGCTGATAACCTATCAGTACATGCTGCTGGAGCAGCAGTTTCCTTCCCAGAACACACACTTACACACACACAATTTGTCTACATAATGCTGCTTTGCCTGAACCTCAGGCCTGACAAGTCATCCCCCTCAGACCAGAGGAAAAACAGTTCACTTCAATTCCTGGTGCAAACCGCCTCACCCACAACCACGTGCTGATGTCATCCTCAAAATGCTTTATGTCTTAAGTTATTAACATGTTTACGTATCGATATGTCTCTGCCTCACTCGGAGGTCCCAACACTTTGATTGGCATTTATCGATAATGCTTACATCTGGCCTCTAACTTGCTAACATTCTGCCAGTGGATCCAGTTGGACAGAGACCAGGTGGTGGTGTCATGCATAAATTGAAAACAGCTGCATGATTTTGTAACATTTTCTGTTCTGTTACTTTGTTACAAAAAATTCCTTCCTTCCTTAAGAAAACATAAGATGACTTTTGTTTCTTATAACTGTCACTGATGACCATGTTTCTGCTTCGCAGGAACGCTTCCCAGCTAAAGCAGCTGCAGGACCAGATTCTATTGGAGCAGCAAGAAACAGTCAATTGGCAGCAGGAGCAGCAGAGCCAGGAAGTCCCACCTCCACCTCAGGAAGTGCCTCAGGAAGTGCCTCCACCAGCTCCACCATCTCCACCTCTCCCCCCTCCTCCCTCCTTCCAGGAGTTGGAGAGCAACGCAGCCATGCAGGCCAGCACCTTCAACTACGCCCGGCCCAAGCAGTTCATTGCTGCTCAGAGCCCCGGTGGAACGGGCTACGTCACCCAGTCCTCTGGTTCCTCAGGGTCGAGCCTGTCCTCCCCGCTGTCACCTCCCACCTCGCACAAGCCGTTCAACAGGGTCACTATGCCCCCCTTCACCAAGGCCAGCAGCGTGGAGTCCCCGAGCTCTCCTTCTTTCCCACCTCCACCTCCACCCTTCCTCAGCTCCAGTAACCTGTCCTCTCCATCAGGCCCTGCCCAAGACTTCCCTCCCCCTCCGCCTCCTCCCCCTCTGCCCGTCTCCGTGTCTCCAGCCTGCTCAGATATGTCCTCGCCGTTCTCCTCCGTCCCTCCATCCCCAGCCTCCAGCTTCTTGTCCTCAGTGTTGCCCTCCACACCTTCCTCAACCGGCAGTCCTACAGTCAATGCCCTGGGCCTTCCTAAAGGCAACGGGACTGTGTAAGTATCCCACACGTGCACTTTCTTTACAGTGTCTGTCAAGCTATGTACGTTTTGTCTCAAGCGAGTTGAGCTCCCCGTCAGATAAACCCACTGGCAACTGGAGGCAGGATGTCTGCTAGATGGAAGATGACATGTTTACATTGTTATACAGCATGTTTACAGGAAAACGCTAACTAAAGAGCCCTTTTAAACACAAACCCACACACGTAGACACAAAAGTGTTCCTCTAGACCCCATATGGCACGAAAATATACACAAGGACCTCAAAGTGAAAGGTGTGTCAAAATCAAATAAACACTCAGATTTAAGTATTGTAGTTTACTGGCTGTCAAGATCTATCACCATCACTTCGTCCAGCTCATGTGGACTGCAGGGTTGCTGGATTATGATTTTGTTAGGTACACTCGCTTCTGATGGGGAGAAATTCAGTTATTTTTCCCCCATCAAGGACATTCCACTTTCAACTCTTTGCCAATAATTTTTCATCAGCCCCTCACTCGCTCCTGCACTCCCCCTCTCACCCCGGCATTCCTGCTGCAGTTGGGAGAGATAAGAAGACACACTGTGGAATGCTATAAGCTGGACATGTCCAGATAAGGGGGGGGATGTGAGAGAGCCAGAGAGGGAGCAAAAAGAGCAAGCGAGGACTAAGGAGTGCGACCCCTTGAGATAACGTGTGTGCGTCACAGAGTGCCACAACTTGAATGTTGTTGTTAAAGTTGTTTCTGTTTCGTCCTTCCTTCAGCAAAGCGTTCCCCAGAAAGTCCTCTGTCACCAGGACGCCTCGCCTCTCCTCTGACTCGGACATCCAAGGATCCAAGGACGCTGTCATCCAGGACTTGGAGAGAAAACTGCGCTTCAAAGAGGAGCGCATAAGCAATGGTCAACAGGTGTGTGTGTATAGAACGAGCGATTGGTGCATTTCTCTTTATATCTGTGTGTGTGTGTGTGTGTGTGTGTGTGTGTGTGTGTTAGTGTGTGTTGTAGCCTTATTCCATTACTGAAACAATTGTGCGTTTGAAGGCAGTTAGAGAATGAGCGTGTTCAGGTTATTAACACAGATTAACAAGTCATACAACTACGAATGAAAGCCATTAAAGTGTATTTAAACACGCTTTTGTGCCATGCACCCTCAAAGACATTCATTATGTTTTATCCATAAGGAATTACATCCCTAATTAACACAAGGCTTAGATATAGTAGCTAGCTGATGGTGTGTATAAGTGTGTGTTTGGCAACTCACACACTAACCCCCGCTGATCCCATTAATCCCTGCTTCCAGAGGTTAACCTATGAGGAGAAGATGGCTCGCAGACTGCTGGGCGCTGACAACGCTGCCACGGTCTTAAACACACAGGACACAGAGGAGGAGCCAGTCACACAGGTACTGTGGTTCTTCATCAGGATCCGCACACCTGGAGGGGAAAACAACACACATGCACACTCACCTGAAATCATGTCTACACCAGTATTTAGCTGTTTTTAATTATAAATCCCACTGTTGCATGTATACAACACAAGCACCTTTCTGTTTTGTCCACTGATGCTTTAATGGTGTCATTCCTGTCTTATGACTTCTGGCTCTCCTTTATATTCTGTTGAATCAGAGCACCCCCCACCGCCTGTCCCTGTAAACACTGTTGAAGAGCGAGTTATGAAAGCAGGGTATAAACATTGTAAAGTCCTCCAGAGCCCTCCATAAAAAGCTCTGTTTATGCAAACTGGTAGAAACCAGTGTTGTTGCAAACATGCTCGGGAGTAACACTGTTTGAAAGCCTGTGCAGCAATTTGTCTGACTTTGAGCTACCAAAAAGCTCTGTGGATGTGTCAGAGCACCTCCACAGTGTTGGTGGTTGGTTGACATGTAAACTGGTTTGTGTAAACATTTGTTTACATTAATACTTTAACAGGGCTCATTTCCACCTATAGAACAAAGTATTTGTTGACATTATAGTTACAATTACATTTTTATCATTTAAAATGAGGCCACATAATCTATATTAGTCAAAGTTTGTAATACTGGAAAAGTCCAATCACTGTACATACAGCAGAATGACAGTAGACAGGTGAAACTGGCTCTGAATGACAGTATCCTCCATTAACAGGAAGCACACACTGGTTAGTTAAGTTAAGATGCAGTTAAAGTTAACATCACTAGAACACAAGTTGTGTCCACACTGGCAGATGAGATCGAGTTACCATTAGCCTGTTGGCACGAGGAGCGATTTCATTGGTTGTGGTACTTTAGCGCTGCATGGCTCTGAGCACAACTCTGAGCGTGGTAATGTGTCTGTGAATGCATCAGTGACAATGCGTTGTGATATATTGTATTCTCATGCTTATACATAAGGATCTCGAATTTTCTGTTTTGACCGCAGGTAAGATTGCAAAATACACCCACACTGAAAACACACACAGAATAACTGTGTTTCCCACCCTGTGTGACAGTGACAGTACAACATGCACACAAAACTACATTTTTTTCTCTCAACAGGAATACAAGTCATCTGATAGAGAATGTTTCCCTCAAAAGGTTTTTAAAACCTTTGTTCCTCACTGTCACCTTCAGGTTCTTCATTCACTCTGTGTAACATGTCACTGTGTGTGAATGTGCATACAAAGGCACGCTCAAAGCTAGGATGTGTTCACTTTGACCAGAACAGGATCAGGCCTGGGAAATAGCTGATAAGGGAACAAAAGCCAGCAATACGGAATTTGTTGTTTGGTCCCTGTGGTTCCATATTGACCGTATAATCCATTCACACGCAGGTGTGTCTGGTAAACATGACAGAATTGAACTGATTGAGCGTGTGTAAAACTTGGTCTCTGCACCTTTTTACAGTTTGTACAATTGATTCAGATACTGACGCATGTTCAAGCTTGATTCTGTCAGCACATTTGGTTTAACCCAGATTGCACTTTGTTCTGTCTGCAATGCATGCTGCAATGTTACTCCTCATTTGAAATTTAAGTAGCAACTCAATTATATCTTAAGGTTAATTGAATATTACTTTGTAAGATTGTAGAAAGGAACAAGCTGCAGCAGCTGCCTCGGTACTATTACTGGATAATACCTCGGTAGATCAGGAGGAGCCACTTCTGTGATTGCTGTCGTTATAACTGAGTTCAGGAGGATAAATGCAGGTTCTGCAGCTGTGCCCGAGGCCTGTCATTATCTGTGTGATGTGTCATCAGACCATGCTGCTCTGCAGATGTTCCCTCTGCCTCAGCAGAGCTACAGTGATGAGAGATTGATGGAGATGGTGGGAAGGAGGAGTGGCTCATCTGGGCAGAGAGAATTAGAGAAGTGGTAGAAAGTTGGTAGTTTGGGTGACGTTGAAGTATAATAGGGCTTTCTGCACGCAGTGTGCTTGCCTTTGCTACACAGTCACACAAACTTTTTGTAGATTTTCTGTCCCAGTCGTTCTCTAAATCTTTTCATTTTTCTCTCTCTTTCTCTCTCTCTCTCTGGCACGTAGGAATACAAGGTGTCCAGCTTTGAGCAGCGCTTGATTAGTGAGATTGAATTCCGTCTGGAGCGTTCTCCGGTGGAGGAATCCGACGACGACGTGCAGCACAATGAAGACTCTGCCGGCCACGGGGTGGCACCATCTTTCGACCAGAAGCTCAAACACTACAAAGTCTTTGAGGGCATGCCAGTCACCTTCTCCTGCAAGGTCAACGGAGATCCCAAACCAAAGGTGGGAGGTTGTACTGTACAATTTACTGAAAGCATGTCATCACCCAGAATTATTAAACATCGTTGGCGTTGATTCTGTGGAGATTATTCATATTATATTAATATTTGGTCAATTTGAAGCCATTATGATGGCCTGGCTTCCTTTGCTTGGGAGTTGCTGATGTGTGATGTCGACGATGGAGGGTGTAGATGCTGTACATATGCTCTGTGTTGTGATAAGGGGAGGCCCTTTAGGCAAGAACACACAATGGCCTGGGCAGGCCGCCTGGCTCTGTCCACATTAATGGCATGGTGATGACAGGTTTCAGAATGAACCAATGAAATAAAAGAAAAGCAGAGAGACAGAGATGAAAATGAAACAGAGCAGTCTGATAGTCGTGCTCTGTTCTTTCTTATCTTGTGTCACAGGTCTACTGGTTCAAAGATGGCAAGCAAATCTCAAAGAGGAGCGAGCACTACAGGATCAGCCGTGACGCTGATGGAACCTGCTCCCTGCACACTGCTGCAGCCTCACTGGATGATGACGGCAACTACACTATCATGGCAGGCAACCCTGAGGTGAGCAGACGGGTGCAGAGCTCTGGAAAAAGAATAAATAAACAAAATAAATATTGTAGAAAATTCTGAGCACCTTTTCTTTAAAAAAAATAAATAAATAAAGTATGCATGCCCTAGTCTGTTTGGCTGCCCGTAGGAGATGTCAGCGTCCATTAGCGAGAAAATAATGAGTATGAAGATAATGTCTCAAGCCTGAAGAGGAAGAGGGCGTTGAATGAGAGAGGAAATCATGAGGGCCAAAAGTTCATGTGCTACAGGCTTTCTAACAGCCTTTTCCAGCTCTAACACTCACATTTTATTTCCTCCTCTCGGCCTGACTGCTGCTTTGGTGCGGTGGAGTGTCAACACCTCATAAGCTCCCTCTCTCCGTGTCTCTCTTCCCTTCACAGGGCAGGGTGAGCTGCACCGGCAGGATGATGGTCCAAGCTGTGAACCAGCGAGGCCGTAGCCAGCGCTCCACACCTGGACACATGCGCAGGTGAGGCATTACCGACTGACAGGAATAGGTGTAAAGACAAACAGAAAATCCCTGTTTTATTCACAACCCAGAGCTGCTGGCTGGCACATGTGCAGGCAGGCTGTTCACCATCTGTCGTACGTCTGTACTCACTCGCGCTTCCGTGCAGATTAAAAAGTGCGTTATGCTGACGTAAAATGTTCCAAAGCTGCTGCTATTTACACAAATGTTTGCTGTGAGCTGAATAAAGCGTTTTCCTTTGTTGAACTGTCTGTTCAAGAAAGAAACGCTCAGTGTTAATGAGAGGGCACACCTGTTTGCTCTGTTCTGTTTTTCGCTGCTCTAATGACCTTGTATATACAGTACGCATTCATCCAAGTCCAGATAGAGAAAAAAGCCCAGAAGATCACAGACCCCACCTGTAATCTGTTACCTGGATGAACGCTCCCTGAGCTCAGAGATTGAGATAACAATCAGTGTCTCCTGCTCTCTTTCTTTTCTGTCTCTGGCTGACGTGCAGGAAGAGTGGTAATGTCATTGTTATAGGGCAGAATAACAAGAACACCTATGGGTCATGACCTGCCCTTACAGGGTTGAGGGAAACTCTCATAGATCAAGAAAGAGTAAGTGGAAGGATGCCAGAGCAGGAAATAAGGACAGAAAATGCCCCTAAAGGGGGAATACATAATTTACAAGTGAGCACGAATGTGGAATGAAGTTTTTGTATTTAAAAGAGTATTGCATTCTGTGTCTTAAATGTTTAAATCCAAACAGGTTCATTATATTCAAATAATGTGAGTGTTCTCACTCAGGAAATATGTGCTTCCCTAAAAAAGCATTTATAACTTTTAACAAACTAAAGTTTCTGGCAAATGAAACACTTCTAAAAGCTGGAACAAAATGTGTCTGTTTTTTGACAAATTTAAGACATGTTTATGTTACAATTAATAGAAATGAACTAAAAGTTGCAAAAATGCCAGAAGTTGATTTGTAATCCCAATTCCCTCTCCATCAGGCCCAGGTCCAGGTCTAGAGATAGTGGTGATGAGAACGATAACATCCAAGAGCGTCACTTCCGCCCCCACTTCCTGCAGGCACCCGGTGACCTCATCGTTCAGGAGGGCCGACTGTGCCGGATGGACTGCAAGGTAAATACACGCCTCTTACTACTGAGAGTGCAACCTGTGCCAACAGTGTGATAAAAGGGGGAAGGGAGGTCAACGTGTTGCCCTGTGGTGGCCGCATCTGAATAAGAGAGAAAGATCAGGTAAATTTATCACAATGTGGCTTCCATTGGTAAAAGATTCATATAAGAAGTCGCTGGAGAGTGTTTGATCAGCTCTCACAGAAAAACTGGTCAGCTTCAGGACTGGTGCTGCTGAAGGACATTTTTAAAACTTATAGGGAGAACAGACAAATTAAGATCTGGTCTGGTATTGCATGTCAAGCTATGGTTTAGTGTGAATAAGACCTTATTATATAAGGCCACAAGTGAAGTCAGAATCTGCCATTTATACTTTTACTATCCCTCTGCCTGATTACTTACCGCAAGTTTAATCTAAGGGGATCACAGTCTGAAATAGTGGAATGGTTTAGCTAACAGCCAACTTAAGTTAAGCTTACGTGCTTCTACCCTGTATGTGAACACAATATCCAATCCCTGCTGCTACCCTTTGATAAAGGAAAGACAAAGAGATGGTTTAAAATAACTGAGACATGACTGGAAAGGCAAATGCCCACACCAAAGAGAATATGTTAATCATAGTAATAGAGAAAGCCATTTCAGATCCGCCCTTCAATTCAGTGTCTGTATTGCTTTCAGGGAGGCTCCGTGTCTGCTCTGCCAAAGAAACATTCGCCTTTCCATGCATTCCAGTTTCTTTAGGGAATAAAAACTAGCGGAGGCGAGATGTTTCATCACTTCCTCTCGTTGTGAATGGCTCAAAGCAGCATACAGAGGGGTCATTTTTCAGGGCGTGGTCAGGTTTTCCACAATTATGTCCGTTTTTTTACCACTCGTGCTCATCTCTCTATCTTCTTCGTCATTGCCTTGCCTCCCTCCAGCCTGCAGCACTTACAAACTCCTTGAAAACTCGTACATGTAATAAAATCAAAACAGACCCACAATTAACTCTCTATAAAAAGACTGCCTTTTTTATGCTTGTCAGAAATAAACTAAGCGTCTCCATTCCTTCTGAGACCTTAATGTCAACGGTATTTATAGAAAATATTTATTTTCAGATCATTTGTGGCTTTCCAAACTTTCCATGCTTAAAATGTCCAAAAGTGTATTTGGCTGCTTCCATAAATACTTATCACCGCTTAGTCTACTCTCCTCTGTGATATGTGTATTCACACATATCACAGAGGATTGTTATACAAAACACATGCATATCCACAAAAACACAGGCACATTTTCCAGATGGGCAGGAAACCCAACACCTACTTCAGGTGTTAAGTTTCTCTGCAAAAAGAGCCGTGTCATTTCTCAGTGCAGTTTATTCCCATGACAAAGCGTGTAGGAGACTAGGCTCCTCCACAAAAACACAACACAGACAGATTAACCAAACAGTGCTGTTTTCATACTCCCAATAAACACGCTGCCCCCACAGAACACATGGAGCTAATATACTCATTTGCTCCAACAAAAACAAGCACACACTGCGCCATGAACAAGCATTCACACATTTAGGGAACGTGAATGTCTGCTGTGTTGTAGGTGAGCGGCCTGCCCACTCCTGACCTCATCTGGCAGCTGAACGGACAGACCATCCGCCCCGACTCCGCCCATAAGATGCTAGTGAGGGAAAACGGTGTGCACTCGTTGGTCATCGAGCCCGTGACTAACCGCGACGCTGGCATCTACACCTGCATCGCCAGCAACCGAGCGGGCCAGAACTCCTTTAACCTGGAGCTCATCGTTGCAGGTAAACAGTAAAGAACAGTAGCTGGCATGTGCGTGAAGCTAGATAGATAAATATGTTGGCATGATTTGGACCATCTCATTTTCCCACAGCCAAAGAGATGCACAAGGCCCCTTCATTTGTTGAGAAGCTGCAGAACACAGTTGTGGCTGAGGGTCATCCTGTGCGACTGGAATGTCGCGTCACAGGGGTTCCCTACCCACAAATCTTCTGGAAAAGGGAGAATGAGTCTTTCACTCATAACACAGACAGAATCAGGTAAATTCAACGTGTAAAATTGCAAACAAATATTTTTTGATGCTTGCTCCAGCCTACATTTGTACCATATTAAACTGAACACACAAAAAATGGACATTAGAATATGTAAATAACGACATCCCTTAAATTTGTGTCAATTTTCATCCCCAGCATGCACCAGGACAACTGTGGATACCTGTGTATGATCATCCAGCCGGCCATGAAAGAAGATGCAGGCTGGTACACTGTGTCAGCCAAGAATGACGCCGGCATCGTATCCAGCACTGCACGCCTCGACGTCCACAGTAAGTTTGGACTCTAAAACACACACAGCGCTTGTTGAATCAAGCATTTCCTGTTTGGCTGCCCCCCACTACACACTATTAATCCCCCTCTGCTCCGTCCTCAGCTCAGTGGCAGCAGCCTAACCTCCCCAAGCCCAAGAAGGTGCGTCCCTCCACCAGCCGCTACGCCGCACTCACAGAGAGAGGGCTGGACGTGAAGGCAGCCTTCTTCCCCGACTCCAGCCCGCTGCAGCCCGGTGGCCTGGTGGAAAGTGATGACCTGTAGAAACCACAGGGCAGCCGGCAAGAGGATTGCAACGTCTCCAAAAAAAACCCCTGAAAACTGCCCTTATTCCAAGCACTCCTGAGAAGACAAATACTTTATGATGGCGACGGGGGTCAGAATATAACCATGTCCACTTGAGGGACTCTATCATTGATACAGAACTAAATGGTCTGTGGGCAGAGTGAGCTGGTGGTTTTCTTATGTTGTTATAGTATGACACAACCCATTATATTACAGAAAGTTGTTTCCCCAAGCTTCATTTTATAAACTGGACCTGGAAAATGATTGTTTGCGTTTACCACGAGGAAAGACTGTTCATACACATGCTCTCTCATGTTTCATGAACTGTGCGGTTGACTCTGTTTTGCAAAGGGTTGTCTTTTTAAGTGCCTCTCATGTCTGTAAAGATAAAACATGAAATGAATTACTATGCATGTTCAAGTGGTGCCATTTGAAATACACGGACTAATACTGTATCTATACATAGCACTCCGGAGAAAAGACGACTTAAAAAGACTGAATGACTCAAAGCATGGTAGCTTTGATGAAGGAGATCACAAACTTTTATTATGTGGGCTTGTGTAGCATAGTGCCGATATCTACAGTATCTGGTTATTGTTGGAGTATCATACAGTTTGCTTACAGATATTGGGAAAGGCCGGGCCTTATAGACCGTATGTTTGCCATGTTTAGTGTTTTATTATTGTTTTTGTTTTGCAAAAGAAATGAGGTTTGGGAAGAAAGAACATGTGGATGTGATTGGTTGCGTTGTGGGTGCAGCAGAACTTAAGGAAATTTGGATCTAACAAACACAGGAAGGAAAAAGCAGGTTTTTTTGACGGACATCAACTTTAATGTGGTAAGTCAACACTTGATAGGAAGGATGTGATTGGCTGACAGTTGTGATTTTTTTTCTTCTTTTGACGGTTTATTTTTAAAAGTGTGAATTGAAATGTTCTCACTTGAGAGAGGGTGCTGTGAAAGGTTTCGGTGTATTTGTCACACATCACAGATTGTCCATTTTATTTTTGTATGGAAAAAAAAACACTTTACTTTCCCAACAATCTTGACATAAATTATATCAGCAACCTTTTGTTAACTGATAAAACAATCTTTTCTGTATCATGAAGTTTTATAAATATATTTACTGCCTTAAATCACTTGTAGGCTTAATGCAAACACAATTTCTTTGCATGTTACTTTTGGGCACTTGTACAGTGCCAACAACGTTTTTCGGGATGTACAAACACAACTTTTTTCCCCCAGTATTCAAGGGTACAAAAGTGAAAGGCAAGGTTTATTTATATCAACTATTTTCGTCACCTCTGTAATGCTATACAAAGTGGACATCTTTTTCTGTGTCTGTTCAGAGCTTGCATCAGCTGACAGTTACTGTGTTTGCACATTTCTATGCCAATCAATGCCTGTATATGGATTGTTCTCCTGATATTATTTTAGGTTATGAAAGTTAATAAAAATCAATCTCTTCAGAGACAGCGTGAGATGTTTTTACAGACTGGCAGGCTCTTCCTAAAACAATAAGAGAATGCCAGTATAAACGCATTATCAGTCACAGTGGAAATACCATTCTTGCTAAAAATGCTAATCAAAGTATAATCTAGCCCAATCCCTTAATAGAAAACACAACATTTAAGATGTGCACATAAAAGAGAGAGAGAGGGCTATCAAAGTCGCTGACTTAAAGTCACGGCACCTATGGATGGTAACTGCATATTTCAATGAAAGGAACAAGCAACGCACGGTCCATCCGTCCACACTACAGGTCCAGAGCTCTAACCAGACACTCAAAACATTACCAGAGCTAAAAATACCCCCCCCCCCCCACCACTACCTTTAATTTCCTCCAGCTGCAGCCCGACATGCCTGGCCCCTCCAGAGGTGGGCTTAGGGGCCCGCTGGTGGAGGGGCAACATGTGCTGGCTGTGAGGGGGTCTCCCGGGGGAGGTGGGGGAACAAAACATGAGCAGGACGGGCGCTTTACAGTCATGGAAAAAGACCAACAGCGTTCAATCTACTGATCAAATTTAGGACCTGAGGGCACAGAGGTCTGGACTGGGCCAGACACTCTGGAGTCAGAAGCGTTACTCATGACACACATCAGACAGAGTGACTCAGCAAAAAGACAGAGCAGCAGGACAGTGATCTCCTATGTCAACAACAAGTAATGGCCTTTTTACAACTTGTGCAAAGATTTTGCTTACTCTGTGTTTTGCAGCAAGAATTTGATACGAAAACAGCAGAAAATAAATACGATATACACCAATATCTCGCTCAACAACATTCCACTTCAGCCATGAAGCCTTGTTAGGTGTAAATGTTCATCTGGTCAAATGCTCCTCAGTCATGAGTAACACAGAGCCAAGTGTCCCTTCATCTTATTCTTGATCTATGTCCTCTACAGTCTCCAACTTCCATGCCTTTACCAAGGCATACAATTTTCAAGAAAAGACTTTCACATGCCTCACTGCCATTGTTTTTAGCTGTGAGATTATTCCATGGGAGGGCCCTTACTGGGCCAGCTGCAGTCCTCCATCCACCACCAGCACCTGCCCTGTAATGTAGGAAGACTCCAATAGGAAGAGCACAGCCTGGGCGACCTCCTCTGGCTCGCCAAATCTCCCCAGCGGGATGGAGCGCAACCTGTCCTCCTCCTTCAGCCCTGCGGTCATGTCGGTGCTGATGAAACCTGGAAGTAAGAGAGGGCAGGGATGTGAGAAAGACTAAAAAGGACACATAAGATCACAGAAACTGGGAGAAAACAAGAAGAGAGCAGGTGCTGAGAGGAAAGGTGAAGTTAGAAGAAAGATGTACTATACCAGGAGCCAGCAGGTTAACTCGGACATCGCGCGAAGCGACTTCCTTAGCCAAAGAGCGTGTGAAGCCCTCTAGGCCGGATTTAGTGGCGCTGTAGACACACTGGCCTGTGTTCCCTTTCAGGCCCACAACAGAGCCTTCAAACAACACAAAGTTCAGACGACTTACTATGACAGAAATGTTTCAACATAAAACTCTGGTAGGAAGCTAACACTAATCGAGTCCCAATCAAAAGCATGCTATCGTTTTACAGACTGAATTAAGTTTTCCTACGTTCAAGTCAGCCACTAGTTTTAATATAAAGCATGCTAACAAATCAGTTTACAGAGACATGTGGATATTATATCTGAAGAGGAAATTCACGTCCTTTTCACATTCAGTGTTTGTCATCCTGGTTTGACTTCCTTACATGCATCTTCAGTAGTCTAGGGTCTTGGAGATCCCCCCGATACATGAGTGTAAATATGTGTGTCAAACCCATCATCATTCATCATGTAAAATATTTCTAGTAAATGGGCTAAAACATGCAAACATTTATGTAAATACACCAGAAAGAAGAAATGTACACTGCCACCTAGTGACCAAACTGAAAACACTCATCATGGAGGCCACTGGATTCAGAGCCCCACACTCACGGACCTTGAGGCGCGTTCCCGGTAAGCCCACGAGGTTGTGTGTGAAATGGGCTGTCCCATTATACCATTACAGGCCCTTGCAGCCCCTCTCAATTAAGCATTTTACCAGGTGACGTCAACTAAGTCTGTGAGGGTTCAGGGCTTTAGCCTTTAGAGTGGAGATTGGGCCTATGAGTACCTATATTGACAATGGCTGCTCCCTGGGTGTGCAGCATGCTGCGCAGTGCTGCCCTGCAGGTCAGCATGGTGCCCAGCAGGTTGGTGTGAAGCAGAGCCACCATGTCCTCCGGCTTGGTCCTCAGTAACAGAGCATCCCTGAACAAACACACACACAGTGATATAAATCAAGTACAGGTCAACATATAACAACATAACATCAACATCATATAACCATAACACAGCGGGGCATCACCAGAGAAGCCTGCTAAAAGTGTCTACTCACTTGTTGATGCCTGCTGCATTCACAAGATAAGAGATGTTTCCACAGGTCTTCTGGATCGTTTCAAAGGTTTTCTGCACCTCCTGCTCTTTAGAGACATCACAGCTGAAAGCCACATGGTCAGCTAGAGGGCACATACAGTAGGTCTGTGAGGATGCTAACGCTTACAAGACTACAGTGTGTTCATGACAGCTGCAGGTGTTGTAGGTGTACATGTCTTTAATTTTATAGCACAAAAGCCTGAGATCAGGTACAGTGTGTGTGTGTTTGCACTTGTGTGTGTGAGACTGACAGGAAATTTCTAGATTTCAAAGATTTGTTTTTGCAGTAACTACCTTTAAAATTTGACTATTTATTTCATTTTGACTGGATTCAGAAATAAAATCATTTGTAGAGGGATCAGCTCAGGGGAGGGAATAAAGTAACTGACATTTTCTTTAATAGCTTGCGTTGCATTTGTTAGCCAGACAAAACAAAACACTCACACTAAATAGATCTGGAAATTAAAGTTTATATTATTTGATCTTATGGAGATTGTGGTGGAGAGCACCGTCTTGCACCTTGGTCCAAAATCTTCCATAGGTGTGAAGCTAGGCTGAGACGTTGTGAGGCCACAGCATTTTATTTAATACTCACCAAACCATTCAGTGAGCCTCGGTGCACGGAAGCATCTGTATTTAATATGTTTCTCCACCTTTTATTCAGGTTAACCTTTAATTTGTATGTGCATGTTTGCGTGGATGTAATGTATCTGTGACGGTGTGCACACAGCTCTATACCTCCATGCAGAGATGCCACTGTGGAGCGGGCAGCATCTTCGTTCCTGGAGACAACAGCCAACCTGCAGGCCCTCTCTGCCAGCAGGCGGGACACAGCCCTCCCAATGCCCCTGGACCCCCCACACACCACTGCCAGCCTGGACATGACACCGCAGGGGAGCCCGACAGGACTGCACCAGTGGGTTTACAACTAAAGCAAACCTACAGTGCGTTTTTTGATGATTCTATGCTGTACAATAACGTTACCTCAAACCAGAACAAATTATAATGTAAATTGGAGGAATAACAGAAATTAACCCTTTTTTCTGCGTGTAACGTTACACAGACACGGCTCAGCGAGGACAGCCTCGGTCAAAACTAGCTTCTCTGCGTACATTTTAGGGTCATTTTGCAGTCTGGTAATGTTTCAGCTCGATAACTATAATTGCATAATAACGTCTATAGAGGTGGCTGTGACGTACCTTATTTTCTGACGTACAAAACTTTTATTGACTGAAAAAAAAGAGTTAACAGCAGCAGAGCGGGGGTTTTACGGACGCCGCCATATTCCTTCTCAATGTTGTTGCGTTGCTCGTCATTAGTCGATAGATGGCGCAGTGGACACACAGTTCAGTACAAGACAGGTCTGGACTGTCTCTGTGTTTCCATCTTAGCCAAGGTTTGTGTATTTTTTCTGTGTAAACAGCCAAAGTTCACGTTAATATTTGCCCACGTGGATTCCCAACAACACAGCTGTCTCATGATTTCCTTGTAAAGTTAACGTTACTTGTGTATGCAATTGACAGTGTGGCAACGGAAGCACATACTAACTAATACATTACTAGGACTTAAACGGTCGTGGGTATTTGTTTTTATATTACTGCTGTTGGACGTGTGTGCAGTGCCAACGTCTTTAGTGACCTTATTGTATGAGGCATGAGGCCCAATATTAAATGCCTTTTTCAATATGGAGGCTGACATTCAATGCAACTTTTGTGTAAGAACGATATTTCACAGACCCATTTCTCTCGGAGTTCATTTTTAGACGATGAGCTATTTATACTGACACATGGTAACTAGAGAGCTCTATGCAGCACACTCATATAACTCAGTGATTGTTAATTGCAGTCATTCATTCTCCTGTCTTTTTCGCTTCGCACATCCTTTTCCCCCCATGGAAACATATTTCACCAGGAAAGCAAAACTGTCACCGGTGTACAAAAAAAGTGAGTGATGTTGAGAGTGGGTGGCCTCGGCCTACACCTGGACGGTCCATCAGACCAAGACATTCTGCAGGATTGATTTGCTGGGGTTGAAGCACATTCACTGGAGTGGACCTGTGATGGAGCCACACAGCGTGAGTCATAACCATGCTGCAGCAGAAAAATACAACCACAAACAGTATAAATCGCTTAAAATGTTATTACTCCTTCACCCAGTGATCATTAATAAACTGTGTCTGTGTGTCAGAGAGACAAATAGAACTTGATTTATATTCAGATCACCTTCCTGAACACCAAGACATTATTCCCCTCTTTTCACACCTTAGTGATTTAATTATACTTGCCAACAGAACCGTATTTTGCTCACCCATGCACAAACACATATTCTGTCCCGAGTCTTGGTTCAAACCTGCATGACAAAACCCCTAATGTTTTCTTGTTAATTTTCTGAAAATACAGTCTTTCATTTTGCAGATGTTTTTGGAAGCTGGCACAGCTGTTTATAATGTTATGAAGCCATGAATTTTTTACTCCTCATTACTATAACTGAGCCATCTAAAATCCCAATAACTGGCGTCTTTAAATTTAAATCTAGTGATGAAGTGGGGACATTTTCTTGAACATGTATTAGTCATTGTGAAATCTCTTTGCATACTGAACTCTATTCAAGGAAGCCTGTTATCTAGCACAGTAAAGGGTTCAAGGAGGACTTTCTGACCCGCCTTTCATTGAGTGACTTGAAATGGCTGACACACCCTCAACTTAAACATAATCAAGAAATTCTTGAACTTGAGACTCAGTTCTCTTGACAGCCCTTGCAGCTATGAATATTGACTTTACCTAGAGTGTACAAATACATTTTCCTACATTTACTCCCATGTATGCCATTCAAATATCCACCTTCCACACTCATATTACTCAACCCACAGTTACACTGGACAACAATGATCTCTCATCAAATTCAGCATTTGCAGGTCATCTACTAAAGTAAAACAAGGGAAGCGGCCAAATAATTATTAAACAAATGTAATGAAGTCAGAGAGTCATTTACATATACGTATTCTTTTGCAAAATAAATACACTAGTTTTTATTATTCCTGCTCAGTATAGTCTTATGCTCATTCATTGGAATAACTTATTTCCATGGTAACCCATCCTCTGCAGGGAACTGTGTGCAGCACAATGACCTCTCCGGGTGCTTGTCAGTTCCTGTCAGTGTTTCCCAGCTGAACATACTGGGAAGGGCTCACCTCTCTTTGCAACACTGCTCTGCTGCAAGTCACTAAAGAAGCTCCTCTACAGCACAAACCTTTTATTCCTGGAGACATTAATGACCACGTGTACTGTGACTTACCCCAAACACATTTAATTAGGAACTACTGTTTTTGTACTGTTCATTTATCGTGTGTGTGTTTACTTTCAGTCAAAGTCGGAACCTGTGCATCTTATGCCATCTAAGCTCTGTGACAGGGAAAAGGAGGACACGTGTACTCAGTCCTGTCAACAGCGCTCTATGCCTTTGATAATACTCCTGGTTAGACAGTTCTACCCTGGCTGCATGTGGCCAACATAACACAAGTCACTAGAGAAAACAAGGGGAAGGAGAACACTACATTACTGTCATGAAACAATGACTTAGCCTGGGGAAAGTATGGAAACCATTAGCTTTTATTGTTATAGTGATTTTTACAAAATGTGCTATTCCCTCAAATACTTCAGAATGTTTTTTTCACATAATAGACTTGTGCCAAGTAGATTTCAGTTTTACCATTTTCAGACACACAACAGACTACAGACAAAAAAATAATCAAGTAAGTCACCTTGGCATGAGTAAAATCTGTTAAGTTGAATCAAGCAATCTTGAGTTGTCATTTGTTCCAATAAATGAAAACATAGTTTATCAACTGTTAAGAAATGCTTCATGTTTTGAAAAATGTGCAGCCAATGCATGAACAATATGTACGAGAAGTCAGTATCAGTAAAAATGTTATGATAGTGCATTAATGCATACATCTGTGCAGGAGTAAGTATGTTGTTTATATTAAAAGGCTTACCAGTGAAATGAAAAGACACTCAGAGGAACAGTTTAGCATCGAGCCTGAGGTTGGTGTGGTGATTGCCAAGAAAACAACGCAACAAAACAGATTAATTCGACGAAAGTACCAATTCAGAAAGACAAAAAAGGCCCTAACAGTGATTTGTACCATCCTTTTCCACATTCTCTCCAAATTTCAAACAAACTATAACATATTCCAGCAGTCAGTTACACAGTGGTCCCCCTCAATTAACAACAAGACTTTAAAAAAAAACAACAACAACACACACTTTAAACTATGGGTCCAATTCAGTCAGTAAAATCATTCATAAAGACAAATTTGGCACAATTCAGTGATTTGAAAGTGTTTAAATACCCCCTTCAGACCTCACGGGACTTGCTGAAGATCAGATGAATAAGTCACATTACATTAAACATTGTTGGGTCCACTGAATGGTAATTAATAATACCTTTACTTTGGAGAATTTCATTCATCTATTCAGTATATTTTAGGGAATATATTAGGAAAAGAGAAATTACATGTTGCACTATTTGATCTGATGAAATAAACTGGTCTTCATTCTCCAAAGTATTTATTCTAAAACTGCCCATATTTCGTCAAGCACCAAAACTACAACCAAATCCCCCACCTAATCACAAAGAAATCTTACAGTAATTCAAGTCAATACAACACTTAACATTAAGAAATCTGTATAGATGCAATGTACAACAAAATCCAATCACAAAAAAAAGAAAAGAATCAGGGGGGTCAAAGTGATATGATTTCAGTAAAGCCTTATTTTTTTGAGATTCAACAAAATTATATACTACATATGTCTTTTGGTGGAGTGAAACAATATGTTACTTTAGGCAAACATTCGGTGCTTTAGCTTGATGCGCTTTCATTGCCACAAGTCACATTAGGAATGAGTTATAGTGTACGAAACTGCCAGCTGAAGGGTGAGTGTGTCCTGTGTGGCTTACTGCGTGTCCAGGTTAGTTATATGAAAGACTCCCTACGAGCAGCAGGTGTCAGCCTCTGTGGAATTTGTAATAAACATAAATATACACTGCAAAGAATCTGTTGTGCACAGTTACTGAAATGTTATGTTGCTCGTCTGATAAATAGAGCTACGTCTGGGTTTGGCTATTGCCAAGGGGTTAGGAGACAAGCTACTCTGGTCAGTAAATACAAAGAAGGTACAAAGTAAGCAATATTTGACTGCAAAGTCTATCTTGGAGTGTGTTTTACGCACATTTAAAAAGGCATAAATAAACAGTCCTGCAACACATCTATCACCACTTTGTCTCCTGAAGAAGGCTTTGTTAAGCGCATGCAAATATTCGACTGCTGTAGGCAACAGTCCTTAGCACTTCAGCCTCAGCCACACCAGGAGACAAAACTGGAGGCCTGTGATTGGCCCAGAGAAATATTTTGTGATGTGCAATGTTCACATGGCTGTGAATGGTAGCTAGAGTACTCAAATGTGCAATACGGCAGACATCTCTTATGATCCTCAGGTTTAGGTAATGCCTCTAGAGCTGTGGAAGGGTCATTTTCCCTACTACGCAGCACAAGTGATGTCACTGCTCATTTGTTCTTGCCTGCTGGATCTGATATACCTACTCATATCTGCTGACAGTTTGAAATAATGATAACATTTTCATCAGCAGTCAGAAGGAGAAAAGTATATATGGCATAAGGCATGTGCCAGCTTCACCCCTTAATGTGTTGCACTACAAAAAAGGCCAATCTATGAAATAAGTTAAAATGTGTAATATATCTATATCAACAGCTCATACTGGTTTGTTGTAGGACTAATCATCTTTGTGTCCTTATGTACAATAAAGTGAGGAACAGTACAAGGCACACATTTAACAGCTGAATTGTTACAAAGATATAAATAACCAACAAAAAAGAAAAGTTCATGAGTAGTGTGCTCGCCTCCAACTGTCCACTGTGCTTTCAACATGTTCTGTTCTTCTCTGCAGCTCTGTCTCATGTGCCACTACCGATCTTTTGCGTGACCAGATCCAGAGCGGGCTCTAAGGAGTTAAAGTACCAATTTGATGGCCCTGTCCCGGCAACCTTGTGAGTGCTGATCTGTTTGGTTTGCAGGAGGCTAGCAGCGGTCAGCTGGGTCACGGTGGTGGTGACTGTGGTTCCTTGTAGTGTGTGTATCAGATGCTGTCAACAAAGCTGCCAGGGAACAGTCCGGTCCTGCCGTTCCTCTGCAGTGTGCCTTTGAACCAGCCGTCTTCCCTCTTCCTGTGAACAAACACAATGTCGCCCTCCTTAAGTTCCAGCTCCGCCTCACTCTGGGGAGGATATGACACCACCACCCTGTACCTGGGGAGGACAGCCAGAGGCACAGTCAGCGACTGATACGCACTGCAACAATGACAACTGATACATCATGATACCTTTTGTAATATTGTGTTCCACTTTCTATCATAAACAATGCTATGTAACAG